CAAACTTAATTGATTCCCTGAATAGACAATTGATGCCCCACAGCATATTGAAAATGAGAGCAATCAATCAGCAATTAGCGGAGCTTAAACCTGGGTGTGATCAAGGAAGGAGACAGTGAAGGAGAGCCCTGCCACCATCGTCATCCCAGGGTGACTGTGTGCATGCCCAAGGCTGAATCCTCTGAGAAGCAACATCATGGCACAAAACTTATATGCTAAAAACTAGAAGATGTGTTTAAAGAAAGTAAAGAGCTACATAAATGGAAAAACATACCATGTTCATGAATCAGACGACTAAGCTTAGATGGCAATACTCCCTGTATTAATTTCCTAGGGCTGCTCTAATGAAGTACCACAAACAAGTTGGCTTAAAACAACAGAAATTTGTTCTCTCACAGTTCTAGAGGCCAGAAGTCCAAAATCAAGGTGTTGGCAAGGGTCACACTCTCCCCAAAGGCGCTAAGGGAGAATTCTTTCTTGCCTCTTCCAGCTTCTGTTGGCCCTAGGTGTTACTTGGCTGTGGTAGCATAATTCTAATCCCTGCATCTGTCTTCATATGGCCTTCCCCCTTGTGTCTCTGTCTCCCAATCCCAAATTCTTTGTGTCTCTGTCTCCAAATCTCTCTCTCCTTATAAGGATCCCATTCATTGGATTTAGGACTCTCTTTAATCCAGTATGACCTCATCTTAATTTGATGACAACTGCAGAGATCCTATTTCCACAGGAGATCACACATATGGGTACTGACAGTTAGAACTTCATACATTATTTTGGGGGACACAATTCAACTCACAACCCTCTCCAAAATGATCTACAAGTTCAATGCAAATCCCTATCAGAATCCCAACTGACTTCTTTGTAGAAATCGACACAAGTTGATTCTAAAATTCATACGGGATTGCAAGGGACCTCAAATAACCAAAACAATCTTGGAAAAAAAGAACAAAGTAGGAGGGCTCACACTTCCTGATCTCAAAATTTGGTACAAAGCAACAATAATCAAGATATTATGGTACTGGTGTAGGACAGATCAATGAAACAGACCTGAGAATCCAGAAATAAATCTATATATCTACAGTCAACTGATTCTCCACAAGGGTACCCAGACCATTCAATAAGGAAAGAATAGGTTTTTCAACAAATGGTGCTGGGACAACTGCATAGCCACAGGCATCATATACAAAAATTAACTCAAAATGAGGCTTGGTGTGGTGGCTCACACCTGTAATCCCAGCACTTTGGGAGGCTGAGGCAGGCAGATCAACTGAGGCTAGGAGTTTGAGACCAGCCTGGTCAACATGGTGAGACCCCTTTCTCTACTAAAAATGCAAAAATTAGCCAGGTGCAGTGGTGCGTACCCATAGTCCCAGCTACTCAGGAGGGTGAAGCAGGAGAATCACTTGAATCTGCGAGGCGGAGTTTGCAGTGAGCTGAGAGTGTGTCACTGCACTCCAGCCTGGGTGACACAGTGAGACTCTGTCTAAAAATAAATAAACAAATAAATAAATAACTCAAAATTAATCATAAACCTAAGTGTAAGAGTTAAAACTATAAAACTCCTAGAAGAAAACATAGGGTAAGTCTTCATAACCTCAGATTTGACAGTGGATTCTTAGATATGACATCAAAAGCATCAGCAACAACAACAACAACAAAAATGGAGAATTGGACTTCATCAAAATTGAACACTTTTGTTCCTCAAAGGACACTATCAAGAAAGTTAAAAGATAACCTATAAAATGGAAGAAAATATTGTAAATCAAATATCCAGTAAGGGACTTGTATGTATAATACATAAAGAACTCTTACAACTCAATAATAAACAGACAACCTAACTGAAAAATGGAGAAAAGATCTCAATAAACATTTATCCAAAGAAGATATACAAATGGCCAATAAGTACATTAAAAGATAGTCAACATCACTTGTAATCAGGGAAATGCAAGTGAAAACCACAACGAAATACCAGTTAATACCCACCAGAATGGCTAAAATAAAAAAAAAAAGTAATAACAAGCACTGAAGAGGATGTGGAGAAATTAGAACACTCAAACATTGCTGGTAGGAATGTAAAATGGTACAGTACTTTGGAAAACACTCCAGCAGCTCCTCAAAGAGTTAAGCAGAGTTGTCACATGACCCAGGAATTCCATTCCTAGTTATATACCCCAAAGAAATGAAAAGAGATGTCCACAAAGAAACTTGTACATGAATGTCAATAGCATCATTATTTGTAATAGCCAAAAGGTAGAAACAACCCAAATGTCCACTACACGACAAATGGGTAAGTAAAATGTGATACATCCATAAAATGTAACATTATTCTGCAATAAAAAGGAATTGAGTACTGATACATGCTACAACTTCTATGAATCTTAAAAAGCATGATGCTAAGTGAAAGAAGTCAGAAAAGACTACATACTATATTACTCCATTTATATGAAATGGGTAGAATTGGCAAATATATAGACAGAATGTAAATTACTAGGGCTCTCGGGCTAGGGAGAGGTGGAACAGGGGAATAGGAGGGTGATAGCTAAAATACACAGGGTCTCTTCTTTGGGTGATAAAAATGTTCCAAAATTTACTGTAGTGACAATGCACATTCCTGTGAATATACTAAAAACCACT